CCAGTGCTCCAATGTATTTAGATCCCTCTGCAAGGCCTCTTGTCCCCTAAGAGAGTCAACAGCACATCCTAGTTTAGTATCATCAGTAACCCTGGTTGATGCAGTCGACTCCTGCATCGAGATCATTGATAAAAATATTGAACAGTACTGGCCCTAGAATTGCGTCCTCAGGAACACTGCTGGTGACTGGTCGCTAGCCAGATGTAGCCCCATTCACTACAACTCTTTAAGCCCTGCCATCTAGCCAGTTCTTCACCCAGCGCACTGTGAGCCTGCTCATCTCGCAGTTGGACAACTTGTCCAGAAGGATGCTGTGAGGAACAGCCTCACTGAAATCCAGAAAAACTACATTCACTACCTTCCTTTCATCCACTGGGCGGGTGACCTTATCATAGAAGGATATCAAATTAGTTAAACAGGACTTTCCTTTTGTGAACCCATGTTGACTGTGCCTGATGATTGCATTGTTCTTTAAATGCCTTTCCATAGCATCTAATACGGTCTCCATAATTTTTCCATGAATGTGTGCCATCTTTTGACTAAGTTGCACTTTTGGTCCCAGAGTGTAGCGTCAGTAGCCCTTTTTTCTATAATTAACTTCAGAAGTGTGCTTCCTCTTCTTTGCTATACTCGTATTTTTGAGACTGTCTAAAAGTTCACCTGGTTTAATGCAGTTTCTGAATAGTAATACAAGAACAACTAGATGGAGGATAAGGAAATGTCATTTCAAATTTTTTTCAAGTAATACGGCTTATCCATGTGATAGTAATTATCCAGTTGACACACTTGGACTGCAGGTATTTTTATCTGCACAACTCCTTCAGACACAATTGGCTGTGGCTCTGCAAAACTTCATATGAAGTGTGTTGGAAGTACTTTCCATCTGCTTTCATTCCTTCAGCTTAACTTTGGGACTTTATGTGTTTGGGTCCACCTCTTTGTCAGTTAGAAAGGATCCAGACTGTTCCTTGTGATTGTACCTTAATAGTCACTGTTCTCTTTAATCTGCTGTGCTGACAGTGGTCTTACTGTCCTTTGCAGGCATTTTGAAAACGAAGATTTTGCTGAGAAATGTTCCCTAGCTCATTGACTTGGGTGAAGTGCCAGCCTTATGTATCTTACCTGAGTAACGCTGTGACTGTCTCTTCTCCCTCCAATGCCTATTTGTCCCATAGGAAGGTGACTTCTACTTCGTATGTCCATCATCCCCTCCTCTGCTGCCTGCAGTTGAGCAACGTGCAAAAATACCTCACTTAGAGATGTTGTAAAAGCTGTGTTTCTTTTCTTTCCTAACAGTCGAGCTTTCTGCGCTACTATAGACAGGAAAACTCTCTAGCTGTATCTAATGAGGCAAGGCAAAAGAGATTGTTTTTAAAACTAGTACTTTTACTTCTGATGTGAGCTGTATGGGCTTTTTTTACAGTGTACTTCAGTTTGATCTTCTAGATTCCCAGAGTCAAAGCTCTGTGACACGTGGAATATTGCTTTATATACCTCAGGGATGGTTAGTGCTGCTCAGATATTATTGGTTCTCACTTTATTTTGGTGACTTGAAAACTAGCTTCTCATTCCCAGTCACTGAGAAGTGTGCATTGTGAGCTTTAGCCTTGGAAAGGGAAGAAATGTTACATTACTTCAAGGGCTTAAAGTCTGAATGAAACACTTAAAACTGCTTGCTGCTTTTTTTTTTTTTTTCTCCTTTCTTTCTTTCCTTCTTTCACCACAGATCTCCCTCGTCATAACCAAAGATTAAGGAATGAATCCATTCGTTGTTGGAGCAACATCCCATTTATCACCATGCCACTCAGCCGTGCACATGGAAAATCATTTGCACACCGCAGTGAGCTGAAGCATGCAAAGCGGATTGTAGTGAAGCTGGGTAGTGCTGTTGTGACTCGAGGGGATGAGTGTGGCTTGGCCCTTGGGAGGCTGGCATCTATTGTAGAGCAGGTAATTCTGTGACTGAAGTGGATGGTTGTTTCAACTTCAGATACTCGGTGATTGTTGGATGGCACAGAAGATTGTAGGAAAAACTCATAAAATGGTCATGGCCCTTTAAAGTAGTGTGTTGGCCTTTCCTTTTTTCATCCCTCTGTGCTGTGGTAGCATAAACCATGTAACTCGGTAAATCAGTGTTTGAAGGTGTGGTGGGTTGACCCCGACCAGCTGCTAAGCACCCACACAGATGCTTGTTCGCTCCCCACACCTCCACCCCATCACCAGTCAGATTGGGAAGCAAATAGGAAGAGCAAAAGTAAGAAAACTCATGGGTTGAAATACAGTTTAATAAGTGAAGGAAAGGGGAAAAGAAACAAGTGATGCTAAGACAATCACTCTCACAAGCAGACTGATGCCCAGCTAGTCACTGAGTGACGGCCACCTTGGAAGACAACCCGCTGCCCTTTCCTATTCTGCTACCTCGGTTTTATTACTGAGCATGACATTACATGGTATGGAATATCCCTTTGGCCAGTTCATGTCTGCTGTCCCAAATGTGTCCTCTCCAAACTTGTTGCCCAGCCCCTAGCCCACCTGCTCTGATGGGATGTAGTGGGAAAAAGAAAGCCTTGATGCTGTGCAAGTACTGCTCAGCATTGGAAAAAGAGAAGGCTTTGATGCTGTGCACACACTATTTAGCAATAGGCAAAACATTGGAATGTTATCAACACTGTTTTAGTCCTGAAACCCAAAACACAGCACCATATGGGCCCTGTGAAGAAAGTTAACTCCATCTCAGACAGACCCAGTATAGAGGGAGGGATTTGCACAGTGAGATTTTTATGCAATAGGTAAGACATGACTGGGGCATTAGTTGGATCTAGTGGGAAGGTGGCGCTGGAGTTTGTGAAGTCTGCAGAAAGAGTAGACTCTTCTTGATTACCTGAGCATTTGCAGAGTTCCTCCAGGAGAAAGCTTGAAACCTCATTACTTGTAGGAAAAACTGATGGGATCAATTCATGGGTTGGTTCTCCAAAATGAAATTATGACTTTGCAGGGGATTGGACATGTCTTCTCTGGGAAGTAAAGTTAATGTAATACATTAAATTTGTGTAAGACATTTAGCTTTAGAGCTTTGAAAGGAATCTGGCCAGATGTGTGTAAGGAAGAAGTAATTAAAAGCTGTACTATCTGAGTTAGCTTCTTCACTTGTAGAATACAAAGTTACTGTATAATGGCAGCTTTAGGAATGGATGGTGAATAAGAAGGTTGGTGGAAGGTACAGCTGCTACTTTACAGCTTTTTCATCTTATCGTTCCTTATCTGTAGAAGTGTTACTGTGTAATATGTATTGTGAAAATTCAAGCATGACTGTCATAAAAACTGGTATTGTGAAAAGAAAGTTTAGCAGTAGCTACAGATTGCATGCAGTCCTTTGCATAGCTCCTAAATGGCTACAAAGGTGTGCAGGAGTACCTTGGAGGGTGGGTGCCTTGCTTTGCACATCCATGGATAAAGCAAAACACTTGTGTCAGCAAGAACTGGTGAGCATAAGGTTACCTATAATAGCCAGAACTGTCATGCTAGCAGTGATCATACTCCAGGCCCTATTTCTTATGTTCTGTACTTACTCTTATGTTCTGTACTTACAGGTGTCGATGCTGCAAAATCAGGGCCGAGAGATGATGATTGTCACCAGTGGTGCTGTAGCTTTTGGAAAGCAGCGGTTGCGTCATGAGATTTTGCTTTCTCAGAGTGTGAGGCAAGCGCTTCATTCAGGCCAGAGTCAGCTAAAAGATATGGTGAGTGGCTGGAGGCACTCCCACTTTTCCTTGAATGTTGGGTAGTACCTGCTCAAGTCACTGCCTGACAGCTGTTCTTTATCTTTCTAGGCTATTCCAGTCTTGGAGGCCCGAGCCTGTGCAGCAGCTGGCCAGAGTGGACTAATGGCTCTGTATGAGGCCATGTTTACACAGTACAGCATCTGTGCAGCTCAAGTAAGGGATTCCTACTTTCCTAGACTGACTTGCTACTTCAGTCAGTGATAGAATTATTCTTGGATTTTTTCCATGTTTTATATGCTTCTATCTTTACTGTAGTCTTGCATTTCCATTGCCATCCTACTTTTGGGGCTTATTATTGTAGCGTAAATGGTAGCTTATACAGGAGTGCCTTGCTAAGTGTTTCTGAAATGGAGTTATCTATCGTCAGGGTGAAGCAAATACACTTTTTCTTTTTGGAGTTTGCGGGTGTCCTGCTCTTGTGTACAGGGGCAGGGGGAGCTGTTAAGGTCTCTTTGCAAAAGCTAAAGTTGGTGATCCAAAGTGAGGATTTAAAAATCACAAGTGGCTGACTGCCACACATTCTGTAAAGCTGACAGAAGTGCACATCCACACTTCAGAACTTGCTGTCCGTCTGCTCCTCAACCTTTCTAACTTGTGGGTGATGGTATCCCTAGCCTGGGTCTACTACCTATACTGAATGTTGCAACTGTATGAATTGAACTACTCTTAAACAGGCTTTGCTTATCTTAAATACTCCAAGACTACAGAATTGCATTACCTGTAAGGCCTTATTTGTTTAGACATTTTTAATGAATTTAGGAGCCTAGTATGAAGTCTTGCTTGGAGGAACTTCTTCCTGTAATACAGTATAGCTGATATGACCAAAACATTTACAGTATAGCTAACAATCACTATAGGTTGTGCTGGATTATAATCTTTTTCAAGTCTGCAGACAACTATCATTCCTTTGATTTAAAAGAAATAATTGCCCATGCCAAAAAAGTCAGTGTACACATTGATTCCAAGTGCTATTGTAACATTTGTGTGGTGGAGTTGCTTGCTTAGTTCTCAAATGTCCAATGGCAGAGTAAAAATTTAAAAAATGTCTCTTCAGGCCAGACATTGAGGTTTTTTTGTCTTAAAATACCAAAAAGAAAGGGGTGGTGTCTGTATGCAGGAGGCTTTATGACCAAGATTCTTCTAGAGCTGAAGAGAAGTCTTGAGACAAAGCATGCCTTCTGCTTGCAACAGTAGAAACATTACACTGTGGGGAAGACAAGAAAGGCAGTGTCTTGAGTAATCTATTAAATTGTTTAGGGTCTTTGTAGTTATCATCAGCATCTATGTTCTGCTTATGTTTTTTTTCTAAGTTGATTCCTGGAGCCTGTGATCTGTCAACTTGAGAAAGGCCATTATAGGCTCCAGTGAAAGTTAAGGCATATAAGCCTGAAAATGTTGTGGAAAGAATATTTCTCACTTGTATTCTTTATCCTTTAAATGTGGCTATGTTTCTTTAGTGACCCGAAGGGCATGACTGATCTGTTATCATATGTTAATACTTACATTTTATGATGTTCTTCTCAGGAAAAGTGGTAGGCTAAGTATGACTTTTTGGTTTTTTTTCCTCCTTTTAGATTTTAGTCACCAACCTGGATTTTCATGATGAACAGAAGCGTCGGAACTTAAATGGAACATTGCATGAGCTTTTAAGAATGAATATTGTCCCTATAATTAACACTAATGATGCTGTTGTTCCACCTCCAGAGCCGAACAGTGATCTGCAGGGGGTAAATGTGGGTAAAGTATTGCAAGGGGGTGGATCCTACTTGTAGATGGTACAGCACTAATGTGTATTTCACTAATGCCATAATCGGGGACCTCCAAAGTCTGCAGCAGGGAAACAAACATACAAAAATAGTAAAGTGGACAGAGGGTACTGGAAGACTATACTGACCTGTCTGTTTCTGGCATGATACAGTGCCATGGGGTGGAAGCAGGGCAGATGATGTCTGCACTGCCAAAAGTAAGCATGCCCAGTTTCATTTTCACTGAATAGTTGAAGTTGGAAGGGACTTCTGCAGGTTCTCTAGTCCAGCACCCTTGCTTAAAGCAGGGTCAGTTATTACCTCTTGTCCTGTCACTGGGCACCAAGGCAGAGAATGCAGGTACTGATCACACTACTTGTCATTTTGATACCGCTTTACCGCATTCCAAAAGCATGCGTACTTTCACACAAAGATCACTTTCTAAGTTTCCAGTGGGTGTGAACAAAGTAGCTCGGAAGGACTTGGTAGTGCTGAGGTAGCGTGCTTTTGTATGTTGCAGCCAAATGTTTCCTAGTTCCTCCCGCTGTTCAGTGCTGCTGATATGCTGTGCATTGCAGGTGATAAGTGTGAAGGATAACGACAGTCTGGCAGCACGACTGGCTGTGGAAATGAAGACTGATCTCCTGATTGTTCTCTCAGATGTAGAAGGTTTGTGAGTCATTTCTTACTTCCTTGTTTTATTGAAGTACGTCAGATAGTCAAACCAACCTATATTCGGGTTTTGCTGAATTATTCAGTTCGTATCTTTTACAGGGACAATTACAACGTACCACATAACTCCTTAAGGCATATACCCAGTGCTGATGCTGTTGCATAAGCCAAAGACAGTCTGCCACACTCTTTAATCTGGGTGGGTGAGAATGCATGTGAACTTGAGACTTGCTCCAGGACCCAGAATACCACATGTACTATGGTACTTCTGCTAGCTTCTCAGAATTGTATGATATAGTCATGAGTAATATGCAGGATAAAGGCTATGTGTTTATAGAGTCAGGACTATAAGCCGAATGCTCTGCTACAATAGTCTGTTTCTTCTGGCAGCAGGTTCTGTCTTTCACTGAATTACAGGTACATTACAAGTCCTGGTCATTGCCTTCCAGATAGGTGGAACTTGCTAGCTTTTTGTCTCCCAGGCACTTGGCTTACACTGCTCTAGTCTTCTGAGCGGTGCTGCTGTGACATAAGTCTGTCACCTGTGGATGCTGAAGTTCCTTTTCTAGAGAGAGGAGGGTAGTGGGTGCAGTTTCAGATTGGTGCAGTCCACATCACCCAAGTCACATAGTCTTTTCATCTTCTCCAGACGGGTTTCTTTCAGTGGATCTTGGACTTGGCACATATTATGAGCTCTGAGGAGGAAGGAGGTGCCTTTCCATAAACACAGTTTCTTTTAGCAGATCCAGCTGAATTTCATGGTTGATTCTAGTTGAAATGACTGTCTGAGAACAACTCATAAAAGCAGTAGTCAAAACAACTTGTAAAAAAATTTAACACCCAACACCCCCATTCTCCAAGTTTATCCATTCAATACAACAACTTGTTTATGGAAATACGCGTGTCCTCTCCTTCCCAAGCTATCAAGGAAGGACACAGATAGTCTGCACTTGTGCTCTCTAATTTGTAATGCCAGTATTTGTTCACATAGAATTTCTGGGAAGTGCGGTGGTAGAGTTTAGGTTTAACGTGTTAGATAAACGAAAGCATCATTCAACTCCAAACATATTCACATAAAATTAATAGAGTTCAAAAAAAAATAGTAAGAGTATGTCTCTGTAGTGTTGTGTTCCTTCTTAGCAGAATTCAATATTTACCCTTCTTACATATTTCTCAATTGCCCAGTTTATCACTGTTACAACCCAGCAATCAAGAATATCATCTGAGATTTTGGTGAGGAGGACTATCCTTTGCCTGTTCAGTTGTGGGCTCGTATACATAAGCACTGATTACGAACGTATAAAAGCTGTAAACTGTCTCTGTAACCTCAACCAAATGTCACTACCTCCCAGCTTGCATGCTGCTATTCAGCATGTGGGTTTTTGGTTTCTTATTTGTTACGCTTTCGGTAAAGCTATACTTCTTGAGCCTGCCTTTTAAGTGTTTCATGCTTTCAGTCCCACAAAAAGCAGGGTTTGGTGAAAGTTTTTAATCCTGTAAAGTGGAATACAGCTTTTCAGCCTCACGGATTTTTTTGTTTGTTTTTCTTCGTTTTTCATGAGTGAGCTTTGGAGATGAGGGTATATAACACTAACAGATTTTTATTTTTTATTTCAGGACTCTTTGACAGCCCTCCAGGATCTGATGATGCAAAGCTCATTGACATATTCTACCCGGGAGACCAGCAGTCTGTAACATTTGGAACCAAATCCCGGGTGGGAATGGGAGGCATGGAAGCCAAGGTAGAAATATGGAACATTTGTTTTGTTATTGGGAAGGAAAGGGAGATGCGGAAAAGGGAGATAGACGAGATGATTGTGCTGCCATTCAGATGGATCTTGGCAGGCTGCAGAAATGGGCACACAGGAACCTTATGGAGCTCAATAACAGGAAATGGCGAGTCCTGCTCCTAGGGAGGAGCAACTCCATTCACCTGTATGGGCTGGGGAGTTGACTGGCTGCAAAGCAGGTTCACTGAAAAGAATATAGGGATCCTGGTAGACACCAGGTGGAACGTGAGCCAGCAATATGCCCTTTGGGCAAAGCAGGCCAACAGTATCCTGGGTTCCATTAGAAAGAACATAGCCAGCAGGTCAAGGGAAATTATTATTTCCCTCTACTCAGGACTAGTGATACCACATCTGTAGAGTTGTGTCTGGTTCTGGACACCACAGTACAATAAGGACATGGCATACTACAGTGAATCCAACGGAGAGCCATGAATATGATTAAAGAATCAGAGCATCTGTCACAGTAGGAGAGGCTGAGAGCTAGGACTGTTTACCCTGGAGAAGAGAAGGTTTGTATATAAATACTTGAAGGGAGTGTGTAGAGAAGACAGAGCCAGACTCTTCTCAGTGGTACCCAGGGAACAGACAAGAGGCAGTGGGCACAGACCGAAATACAAGAAATTAAATTGAAATGTAAGAATTTTACGGTGAGGCTGCTGAAGCACTGGAGCAGGTTGCTGAGAGAGCTTGTGGAATCTCAGTGTTTGGAGATGTTCAAAACCTGACTGGACAGTGTCTTGCGTAACTTGCTCTAGTTGACCCTGCTTTGACCAGGCAGTTGGACTATATGATCTTCAGATATCCTTTCCAGCCTCAGCTATTCTGCGAGTACCCTGGAATGGTGTATAGGTTCCTTTAGCTTCTCTCTTAGGTCCGTGTGAATTGAAAAGAGCAACTAATGAATTGCATTCCAGTAGTTTGTAAGATGTGACATTTGGAACTGTATTAAGTTGGTGTTTTAAATTAAAATAAGAGTCAGTCCTCACTTCTTTCTTATGTGATAATCCAAAGACTTTGGGAATCCCTGTCGCTTGAATCTGATATGATACCTGTTTCCTTTCTGAGTTTCTATGTTTGTTGTTTGCCTCTGAAGGATATATTGGTGGAGACATTTAGTTCTTGAGTACAAGATTAGTAGAGGTAGGAGGGCTGATGGTTTTTAGTGCTGTGGACAGTTGGATGCCCTCAGTATTCATTGCTGTGAGTGCATAAACGTGGGTGTGGTGTGACACTTCAATATATGTGCCTCATGATGCGGGGATATGCACTACGGTAGTATTCATTGGTGTGCGTTTCCTAAGGACGCTTTTGGAAGGTTGTCTGTGAAACCTGAAGTAGGTTTAAACTAAGCAGGGAAAGACCAAAGTGAAATTCTTCACTGTTATCTTATGTTTTATTTCCTTTTCTGAAGAATCAGGTAAGGCATACTTCAGTGTCAGAGCATGGACTGAAATGTGGCATTTGAGTGTTCTGTTTGTAACTGTGGGATGTACAGAGCTTATTTAGAAACAATTTTCCCTTGATCTGGCATCTGGAAGAGTTTAAATGATTCCAGGTATTGAGGGGAAACCTGCAAAGTCAGAGAGCACTTGTATTGTAAAAATAATATTCTGTTAGCGGTATTTGGTATCTTTGAGTCCAAGTTGCATAGAGGCAAAATCTCAATGCTGCTGTTGTAATAAAAATTTGTTACAGTTGAGAATCACGTGATATTTTTGGAAAACCGTAACATCAGTAATAGAATAAACAGATGTTAGCTCAAAGTACAAATCTTGATTATGAGCATGAAGCTTAAGCAAAAATGGAGCAGTTGATGGTCTTGTGGTAGTCAAGAGTTTGATGAGATAGGCATATCTGGCAGGTGGTGTCTCCCAGTGAATATGGACTGTAATACCTAATTGTAGAACCATATTAGGAAAGTGTAGAAGTGAGGAAGCAGAGAAGCTTTTGCAGTAAAATAAATGACACGTAATTAAATATAGTGGCGGGATAATGCTGCCCATACCTTGATTGGGAAAAGAAACAAAGGAGACCACAGGCAGTACCTCTTCAGCAGGTAACATCTGGGATTTGGGTTTGTGGTTTTGTGTTTTGGCATGAACCAGTGAAATGTTGCGGGGGGCAGGAATTTTAGAGAAGTCATGTTGTGATGCCTTAAACAATGGCTCAAGTCTGTGGAAAGAGGCTAATCTTAGGACTACTCAATACATGGGTATTTCAAAGGACCCTTACTAATAAGCTAATCCCGCTGTAAGCATAACATTCTGTAGAAGGACTAAGAAAACTTCAGTATGCCAACACCGAAGTTCAGAAAAGGAATTCGTGTTGCCTTTCATGTTAGGGCAATGCCTACAAAGATACTGCCCCTAAATTTCATAGAGCTCTTGTTGATCACAATGCCTGCCTCCCCACCCGCCCTCCATGACAGCCTTCAGCACACAGGTGATCTGGTAGTATCATTGATTTTGGTTCCCATCTGTCTGTGGACATCAAATTGTTCTTGTTTCAGACTTGCTTCTTGCCTTCGATCTTATGCACGTTGCTTCTATACATTGCTTAGTACACTGCGGTCCTGACCTTTGAAGAAGACTCCTAAATGCTATACTTACAGAATCCTCCTCCAAAATAACAACAAAAAGGGGGAAGAATGCCAAATAAAAAGCATATAATTCAAAACTGAAGAAGTGCAGAGTCTTCAAATGGAGCCTACTGAAAGAAACAACTATTAAGACAATAGGTGTACTCCCAAGCAAAAAGTAGAAACAAATAAATAAAAAATCCGATGAGAACATGAACAGGAAATGTGAACAGAGTAGGTAAAAACTTTGTGGGGAAACCTGAGCAGCTCTTCAGCAAACTTCATAGCTTCACCAAAGCGTTATAAACAATGAGAATACCTCTACATCTTAAGCAGACCCATGAGGAGTGCTTAGGCTGATCAGACTTTAAGGGAGTAATTCAGATAGTTAAAGGTATTGGATAATATTTTAATGTTATATGGTAATGGCTAGGACCTGAGCAAGAACAGTGCTTCGCAGTACAAGGAATATCACATGGTCACTTAAAGTAGATTAATTACTGATGGCTAATCAATGTCAGGGAAATAGGCAACAGAATCTTTTCAAAAAAGAAAATTGGGTTTCTTCAAACAGTAAGAAGAACTTGCAACATAAGGTAGTGGTGGAAAAGAACATAGGAGCAAAGTGCTCTTGCAGAAGTCTTGAAGAAAGCAGGCTGTTAGGAAAATCTGAAGTACGCTCATAAAGTGGCAGCTAGTTAAGGAAGGGAAGGTAAAGCGCCAATACATGATCTCATTCAATGCTACATTATGGAAATTCCTGAAGTGTGTTGAATGCTCTTTGAAAGTGTAAGTGATGTGGAGATCACAGTGGAACAAGGAGTCTTGTTGAGAGTGGTGATTCAAATAACAAGTGAATTTCCTGGAACTGGCTCTATCCTTCACTGTAGGTGAAAGCAGCTCTGTGGGCCCTCCAAGGAGGCACTTCTGTAGTGATTGCAAATGGAACCCATCCAAAGATCTCGGGTCATGTCATCACAGATATTGTGGAAGGGAAAAAAGTTGGAACTTTTTTCTCAGAGGTAAAACCTGCAGGTGAGTACAGAGGTAATGTGTACATTGAGAGTTGTACAGATTTCCTGAAAAGTTAGAGTTAAAATTTGGCTAGACCTGTACAATAACTAGGAAACCACACTCTGCTTGAAAAATGGTTTTTGAAAGGTATTTTCTAGAGTAGGAATAGAAAATGTTGAATCCTCTGCTCTGGTTCCCTCCAGCTGATAAACTGCTGCATCAGACTTGCATTTGAAGAATGCAGTAAGTAGAATTTTTACCATTTTTAGTCTTAGGGTTTATCATCTAGTATTGAACGTTTCGGTGTGAAAATGTGGACACAGAAGGTGCTGCTGAACTAATATTGTGTTTAGTTTTATTTCTTATCAATTCCTTTTACGACTCAGTCTTCTGGTATGGTAGGTAGGAATGTTCTCCTGCCACTGCATTGCTGGGATGCTGTAACAATCACTAGAGAAAGTCAGACCAAAGGTCCGTGACCTTAGCAGATTAGGACCAGTACGGAGTGATACTTTTGACTTGCGCTTTAAGCCAGGCAAATTTCTTAGTGTATAATAATCCTCAACAGATTTCTTGTATGAATTTGTCAAACCATCCTTTGAACCCATATAAAGACTTAACATCCACAGGGCTCTATGTCACAATAGTCAAGAGCCTTAACTAGATACTGTATGTAAACTCTGGAGCTAGAACTATGTGAAGAACTGCTTGCGTTAATTTGGGTTTGGGGAGGTGGAGAAGGTTTTGAGTTTTCTTCCCAATAGCTTCATTTGATGCCCCTACTGCCTCTATGGGCGATCAACCCGTTTAACTTCAAAGATGTGAGACATTGTCTTTCCCCTCATCATCTCTCTTCCCCATGAAAGAGGTTTGGTCTTAGACATTTTGTACTAAAGCTGTTCCAAAAACTTGGTCATTGCCATTTCTCTTGTTTGAAACTGTTTTCATTCTATCGTGGCCTTTCTGAGGTGGGCAAAAATCAAAATTTCACATTGCAATTAAGATGCAAATGAAGCTTTAATTTATGAGATGGCAGGACTAACTGAGTCTTGATGAGATTAATGATGTTTTCTGTTACGTTCTCTAGGCCTTTTCTAATAATTCCAAACATCTAATTTGCTTGTTGATGTTCACTGAAATTATGTTTTCATAGTGTTATTTGTTACAGTATTAAGGTCTGATTTTCCTTTTCCCCTCTACATTTCTTCATGTTATCTGGTTTGAATTACACTTGCTGTTTTGTGGCCTAGTGCCTTGGCTGCAGAGGAAACCACAGAATTGCCGAATGGCTGAGGTTGGAAGGGACAGTATGACAGATGACAGGGTCATCTGGTCCTACCTCCTGCTCAAGCAGGTTGGCCAGGACTCTGTCCAGACAGCTTTTGAATATCTCCAAGAATGAAGACTCCACCACCTTCCTGGGCAACCTGTGCCAGTGCTCGATCATCCTCACAGTGCAAAAGCGCTTCCTGATGTGTGGCACCTCCTGTGTTTCAGTTTGTGTCCATTGCCTCTTGTCCTGTCACTGTGCATGACTGAAAAGAACCTGTCTCCATCTTCTTCACACCCTCCCTTCAGGTGTTTGTACATACTGATGAGATCCCCCCTGAGCCACCTTCTCCAGGCTAAACAGCCCCAGCTCTCTCAGCCTTTCCTCATACGAGAGATGCTCCAGTCCCTTCATCATCTTTGTGGCCCCTCACTGGGCTCTCTCCACAGTGTCCATGTCTCTCTCGTACTGGGGAGCCCAGAGCTGGGCACAGCACTCCAGGTGTGGCCTCACCAGCGCTGAGCGGAGGGGAACGATCACCTCCCTCGACCTGCTGGCAACGCTGCTCCGAAGGCAGCCCAGGATGCTGTTAGACGCCTTTGTGGTGAGTGCGTGCTGCTGGCTTGTGTACAGCTTGGTGTCCGCCCGGACGCCCAGGTCCTCCTCTGAAAAGCTGCTTTCTAGGAAAAAGTGCGGTAGTGACACTTTTCAGTTAGTCCCACTATAATAAATCTGTATCGGCAGTAAAGCTTTCATCTTGTGACCCCATTCTGAGTCACTTACAAATATGGCAAACAGGAAAAGTCCCTGTGGAATTTTATTGGCCCTCTTCCGCTATTGTGGCTTCTTTGACTTCTGTCTTCCAAAGAACACACTTCAGAAATTCGAGTAACTTTTTAAAATCAACTATATCTGCTTACATACATGTCACTCTTCTCAAAAACATACCATACTTTGTAAAGTATGACTTTAAAAAGCTGTTTTAACACTTCTTAAATAAGTCTAATTAATCATGTGTCCACCAGTTCTTCTCTTACACTTCCCACTATACCTCTTGATATTTTGCATAACATTGGAATTCCTGCTCTGGCAATTTCCATGGGACCTTTCTTAAATAGAAGTTGGGTCATATTTATCACCTTCAAGTCATGTGTTTTACAGGCAATTTCAGGGGAGTTAAAAATCACGACTTAGTTTATGCAAGAGCTACTTGCAAACTCTTTGGGGAAACGATACCTGAACCTGGTGACTTGCTTTGAAATAGAAACAGAAGTAACCTGTTCCACATAATTTCAGTTTGAGACAGATTCTTTGAGGTCCTGCCAGGAAAAAAAAAGAAAAAAACCCACCTTTCTTCTGTAGGAGCCCTTCTAAAACACACACGAAGAGACAGAGGGAAAGCAATTTTTCTGCAAGCTGTAACTCGGATTGGGTTTTGGCTTCCATTATTGTTTGTACATTCCCATGCTATTTTGTAATTCTTTCTGTTTTCCTCCGTTGGATACTTAAACTTTTCAAAGTTTGCCTCCTTTCTTTCAGTGGCCTCCCATGCCCTGAGACTTAGCTATCCTGGTGGTTTTTTGCCCTTTGTCAAGTCTCTTTCATACATGGTGCACACTTGCCTCTGACATGGTAGCCTTACAGGGTCTCTGTGGGACCATAGCAGTATTTGTGTGTCAGGTACAGATTTTCCTGTTTTAACATACAACAGATTTCTTGAATATGTATGTTTAAGACTCTGCACCTGCTTTCCTGCTTTGAGCAAAGATTTGGAAGATGAAAGGTCTAGTGTTCACTTCCACATGTGCTGTTACTTTGTCTGCATGGCATATTTTTGGGGTTTTTTTGCAGGTCCTACAGTAGAGCAGCAGGGCGAAATGGCTCGAGCTGGTGGCAGGACCCTGGCAGCTCTACAGCCTGAGCAGGTAACAGAACTATATGGCCTCACTTGTTAAGCTTGTGAATGCGTGGCAAGTTTTACAAGATGGATTTATAGCACAAATGGGCCCCTTGCAACAAGAATCTATTCTTTGTGTGCCAGATCCGTCATTTGGATTGTAGCATGCTTAAAGAGATGAGAAAAGCAGAAAGATAATGTACCTTGGGGCTATGAAGTAATACATGCTTTCATGTGGGGTTTATAAAAATTTTAATAGTGTCAAATATCACACAGAAATGAATTGTGATCAGAGCTGCTGAAGAACTGAGTTGGAATAACTTGCTCCTTTCATTCCTGTGTGTAGTGTATGCAAAAGAGGAGCTGTAGACGATCAGTTACTGCTCTGCAGCTGGGTAGGTGAAATGTGGCATCTGTTGTGAAGAAGACAAGGTGGTCTTAAAGGAAGAACATTGTGGGTTTGGTGAAGAAGACTGGGCATGGAAAGCAAGAAAATAAAAAGCAAAGTAAAGGCCAAAGTTCAGCCTCATTTGTCAATGTTATGCAAGCTGGAAAAATTAGCTGGCCCCAAGTGTTCAGGGAGTCAAGACAGTGAGAGGATGCGGTCAACGTAAATGGACTGAAGCGGACCAGATGTCAAATAGCATGGACTTTGTGTAAGTCAGTTCAGAAACTGTTTTCTCTTTCAGAGAGCGGAGATTATTTATCGTCTTGCTGACTTACTAACTGACCAGAGAGAAGAAATTCTCTTGGCAAACAAAAAGGACTTAGAAGAGGCTGAAAATAAAGGTAATATTTCAAGTCCTTCCATGGTAATCCTATTGTCTTGAACCTCTCTGGGCCTCAAAGGAAATGAGCAGAACTAGAATCTTCTGTCACCTGGGATTGGGTAGTATGGCTGCCACAGATTAGTGAACCCAGGACCTTGAAAGCTTGTCAGTGTAAACAGCTCCAGCTTCCTTAATTACATACAACAGATGCCTTCACCAGAGAAGACACAGGCCCTGCAAAACACGAAGCAGTGTACTGTAAAAAAAAAAAAAAAAAAAAAAAAAAAAAAAGAAGTGCTCCATTTTGCCAAAGGAGGCTCACTTTAGAAATGGAATATAACAAACATCATCTCTGTTATTGTCATACATAAAGTGAATATTTTCTGGGCTGGTTAAGATAATGTTTGGCTCCTGAGGGGAAGGCTGTCATCTCTGTACTTAAATTGATGCTCTCCAAAAAGAACTGTGACAAGTGGAGTCCCTCTGGTGACAAGTGGAGTCCCTCGGGTCCATACTGGGACCGGTGCTATTTAACATCTTCATCAACGACACAGACAGTGGGATCGAGGGCACCCTCAGCAAGTTTGCAGATGACACCAAGCTGAGTGGTGCGGTTGACACACCAGGAGGACGAGATGTCATCCAGAGGGACCTGGACAAGCGGGAGAGGTGGGGCTGTGTGACCCTCATGAGGTTCAACAAGGCCAAGGGCAAGGTGCTGTACGTGGGACGGGACAGCCCCCGGTATCAGCACAGGCTGGGGGATGCAGGGATGG